GCGAGGTGACTTAGGAGTACTTTGTTTTTCTATCGCTGGCGATAGAATCGAACCGATATTTGCGAAATCAATTGCTGCGATAAGCGAGCGAGCGCACAGGAAAAAGCAGCGCGTTAGAAATTGATCGATACGTAAGCGGCAAGTAGTAAGAACCCGTCTGCGGTCAGACAGAATAACGTTGTTGAATGATTGAAGATGTATTATTAATTTACGCGTTGGCGTATCGCGGGGGAATTATTGTCTTCACTTCCACTAGGCTCGTGTTTCAATGGAAACCGTTCGATAATTCTTAGAACGACGAAGGGAATATCAATTACCCCGCGGATAGGGTTTCCATTATAGGAGGAAGCAATAGGCGGAAAATGAAATTTATATTCCTCCTGTGATGAAAGTCATCCTTGAAACGAACCGCATTTTGCGAACCAGTGCTCCGATTTTCTTCGTTTCTTTCAGCGGAATCTCCGTCGAATCCACTTTTCAACTTCGCTGCCACTTTTTTCGCTTTCTTATCGGGTGAATTTTTCAGTAGTTGTTCGAATACTTTACAAGAACCGGAACGTGATCTTTATACATCATTTCAGCGTTTAGCAGCAACCGGGAGACAAAATGCAATTTTTCAAAACTCGATAGCCGGGAAACACTTTGTGTTTTTAACGCGGAAACTTGATTACGTCGGAGGAACTTCCACCCCCAGAAAAAAAAGAGAATAAAATTAGTTGGAGAGCTGTTTTCCTTCGCGTTGAATCGATAAAAATTGTAGACGTTCTGGATGCAACCTAACGCTACGAAAAAAAAGGATGCTATGAAAAATCGAAAAGAAGCCTTCAACGATATTGCCGGCTCTCACCTCGGTCCGTGATCCTTTAACGACGGGTCTTCGAGTTCCACGACCCAGTTGGAAAAATGGTTGCACCGGGAAAATCGTGCAAATACCGTTGGCTGGGATGGCCCAGAGACTGAAAATAAGTAATCAAATCCACCGCGGAGGATCGTAACGGTGCCACCGCATATTTTCTCTGTCTCGGTTCCCTTTGTTTCGCTCGTGGCACAGTGGTTCAAATAACCTGAAAACCCAGACGAAATACAAATTTAAAAATTTTACATAGGACAAAAAGTTTTTGTTGCTCAAAATAGTCAGATATCTGAAGAATACCAATATTGTTTTTTTTTTTTTTCATTGATGCATTCATAAAGCAGTGTGCTTTGTTGAAAGTTACATGTTTTTATGGTATAGTAATGTTAGACGCACAAACTCGGGACTGACCTTGTGCAGTTATTGTAGATTTTGTATATTCTTTGATGTTTGCCGACGCATTTGGCATACAAGTCGGCCATATTGGATCCGGCATTTGGATTTAAAATTTTGATTACAGATTTGTAATTTGTGGACCAAATAATTCATACATACAAGGATTCACAAAGATCCGAAAACACTTTATAATTTTGGCCGCGATTTTTAGTCACCGGGAATAGCCGATGCATAAGTAGATACGGTCAGTGCGTGGTCAGACGCGTATATACAGACGATGTTTTTTCTTTTTCTCTTTATCGAGTGCCACTTTAATCCACAGTTTCCATTCATGAACGCGTTTAGGCTATAGAGCATCGTTAGCGAATAAAACTTCTCGTTTCATACACATCAGAACATTCCTTATATTTTGTCCGGGTTTTCGGGTCATTCGAACCACTGTTAACGTTCCCCTGTTTCGATGCCAATTTTTGTACGCTTTTTTTCACTCCGTTGGTGGCCAACTCTCGACGTTGTACAGGTCCACCGCGAGTACCGAATTGCGCTCTCGGTTCTCGTATAAACCACGCCCAGTAACAGTTTTTCAAACGTCCAGCGAGCCTGTGTTTCGCGCTCGCGAGATCAACGCTACGGGGATGTTGTTGCGTACGTAGAATACCGTGATAAAGGCGACATGGCTTTTGAAACGGGTAGCGGCCGCCGTCGGCTGAAATCAAAGGGGCACACACACGTGCGCGTATCTTTTTCGTTTATGAGACTAATTGTAAGTGGCGAGGGCCAAAAATACTGTGGTCGGAGAGGGAGTCATTGTAGCGTATACTCCTCGGCGAGGAATGTCCACCGGACACATAAATTCATCCCTTCCTGTCAATCCCTTGGTTTCTATCACACCCTTTTCCGAACAATACTCCTATTCTGTGTTTACATTTGGCTCGAGTCGAGCGTCGAACGTGGAAAAGGACAGAGACTGAAAGAGAAAGAGGTCCGAAGAAAAAAAGCAGTCGGCAGAAGCGTATCGATGAGACAATAGAATACAGTCTCACCGGTATCTTGGTCAGTGGTGGAGATAGTCATCTTGCACTTATTCAGTCAATCCTGTCTTGCACTTATCCAGTCTTTACTGTAGACCCTTTTCCAGACAAAAGCGTCAAAGATTTTCCAAACAGGTACACATCCCTTCTTTGAGCAAAACATGTCCTTCTCAATTAGAAAACAGCGGTTCTGTTTTGTAAAACACATACTATACCATTAAATACATACTTAGGAAGTTCTGTTGTATTTATTTAGTAAATAAATAATTCAACAGTTTCGAAGAAAAAAAGTGCGTCTTACAGTCCGTAAAATACGGTATACATTAAAATCCATGTATCACAAACCGACTAATACATTTATTCCGTCTAATCCGTCGATCCCGTATCCCACATGTATTTAAATTGGAACGCGAGAAAGTGGAGGCAGACGTGCGGTCGATGACATACATTTTCGTTCCAATTTTTCTTGCGACACTCGAGTGGAAAATCTGTAGAAAACGATTCGACGTCGTTTGGTCGGACGCCAGTGATCGGCCCACGCTACTGCGAACATTTTTAGTCAATTGCGGGAAACGATAACCATTCGAATACACAGAGGTTCTACATCGGTTACGTGGAAACGTTTCTACTTGGAAATTTAAATATTCATACGTGTCGCGTTTCACGCTGGAATGGCCCCCTAACCTAGAACCGACCTTTCTCTCTTCCGCGCATTGCCACCGATTTACCACCACCTCGTCGAGTTGTCAAAAGCTAGGAAAAGCCGAATGAACCAGGTTCTCGAGACGTTGATCCGCTCGATCGAACCACGTCTGCCTAGCTAGTCCCCCCATTTACATAAAACTTAAGTTAAAAAATTGCATAATAATGCGCTATTTACGCGCTCCTCAAATCCGTAAGACAAAAAATTTTGCGCCCGCTCCGTTTAATGGTAGAAAATTTTTTCCGATGGGATCGCAAACGATGTCACCGACTTTCCCAGAGGCCCGGCTACTTTAGACACAGATGGCTCTTCAGAGATCTCTACCCCGATTTATAAACGCCTTTGGCGGAGGAGAGGAGGGGGTTGATTTCTATCTCGAAAGTGCGACCGAAACGAGATCTGTCTTCCAAGATGCCCGAGTCCACCCCCCCCCCCCGTCCCCTTCAAAAGAAAAATTAAATCTGCGGTCGCTTCTCGATGGCTCGGCTTTCAATTCCACCTCAAAGGAAATCCCTTGTCTCTACGATCCGATGGATACCCGACGAGAATCGGGGTATCTCGCTACATAGACGGCCTTTCATCGTCAAAGCAAGGATTGTTTTATCACGCTTCCCGGCCCCCCCTCACGCTCCCCCGATCCAATGCCTTGGCTTAGTGATTTTCGAGCGCCTCGTTGATTTGCAAGATGCTCCAAGTTCAACCGTGCGGAGAAGAAAGTTTCCACGTGCAACGCGAGAATGCGAATAGCGCGGTACCGGAAGCTTTCGTCGCTGCTGTAATCTCGATGCTGTAATCGTGGAGCATCCTTATTTCAGCTACGGGTACCATTTAGTTACTTTTGAGATTGAATTTCGGTGTTCCGATGAAATAATGGTAACAGCTCGACGTAACGGACTTTGGATATAACGTAAAAAAAATCCGGTCAATTGTAAACAAAATTAAAAACGTCCTGTTAATATTATGTATACTGTAAGAGTTCGCTGGTCGGCATTGCTCGGCGGCGTCACACGAGTTAGTTGCCAGGCGGATTTGGCAAGAGCAAGTCGCCCGCCGATGAAATAGAATTTTGTTTCTGTTTTGTATTTTTTATTTATATCGAAGTACAGTGTATTTTCAAGAAAAAGATTTTTGATTTATTTTAAACCTATTTTTATATAACGGACTTTCAGCTTCGACGGACACCCCCTACCCCCGATTAGTCCTTTATATCGAGGTTTTACTGTGACGAATACAAATGGCTTCCAAAAGGAGTTGCAGAACGAGCAGGCTCCATAAGTGAAAAAGGAAGGTATTAGTCAGACATCTGTCTGTATCAGCATTGGTATATGATAGATACATACGCAACTGTCAATTTTAACTTCATCGAGTGTAATTAAAATCTCTACACCTTGAAGTACGTATCCACGTCGACGTTTGTAATTGATTTCAGAAAATAAAGAGAGGACGTTCTTTTAAATTATAAGATTCAGTCACAGAGGGTATTCAGAACTTTCGCGTTTTAAATAAATTTCCTGTTCTAAAGTCAACGGGAGTTAAACTCACTTCCCCCCATATCCCCCCCTCTCTCTCTCTCTCTTGTAAGCAGCGCATGATTGCTGCTTCTTTTTCGATCAGCTCCCAAGTTTCTTAGTTGGAAGAGAAAAAGAAGACAACGCAGGACTTCTATTGCGAGGAAACGCGATTTAACACCACGGACTACCGCGAAAGCAATCGTGGTAACTTTTATTAGCTTTTTGTAGAATTACTTTTACATCCCGTTCGAGAACTTTCGACTTCGACTCGAATTTTTCCTCGATTCTATCCGTTGGAAGCTTCCCTGTCTCTACGAGCCCGTGAGGGGTTCGTAACTTCACAAGTCCCTTTAAGGACTCTTAACGAAGCCTGAGCATCGAATTACGATGCAATTCCTGACTCGTCGAGCGACGTCGCATCTATTCTTCGTTCACGTTTTGCAATTTAATATTCTCCAGTGTTTTCCATAGAATTTACGTTAATGTCCCGCGACGTTCTGTTACAGAAGCAAAGTGGCCACGGCGCTTTTGAACAAGCACCTGCAGATCAACGGGATCTCCGCCGGTTTGACGACGCTTCCGACAGTGGATCAATCGTCGACGAACCCACAGGTGGAGGATCCACCGATCACGAGCAGCAGCAAAATGAGGAGGGAACGAAAGGCTGCCAGGACACTGGGGATTATCATGTCAGCGTTCCTGGCATGTTGGCTTCCTTTCTTCCTCTGGTAAATATCCTACGTCCGCTGTATCAATTTTTCGAGCCGTTATACCGACCGGAAGAGCTCGACTAAAATTTCAATACGTTATATTAAACGAAGGAAATGAGTACTTGAAGTTTACGTAACCCAAAAGTACTTCGAAACTAGTTTCATCAAATCAGCGAAAACGCGATGCGCTTTGGTGCACCGGCCAACGATATCTGCTGCCCCAAATTTCTTAAAGTTTTCCTTGAAGATTGCCTCGGAAGTAATTATATACAGTCGGTTCCATAAATATTCGTACAATCTATGTCTATTGAAGGAATTTGTAGAAATTAAATGGTAGGTTTGATTTCTCCAAATAAATCCCTCATTATAAATATGTATACAGAAATGGGATTTCTTTAACTCAAATTTTACCGCAATTCGCGATACAGCTAGGAAGTACAGCTTGTTCTACTTGCAAGCAACACCCTGCATATGCACATGTGTACAGTTTATTAATATAGATACTTCTAACGAAAAATTAATTCGGAAACGTTTAACCCACTATTTAATTTAGCCAAATTTCTTCAATAGATATTAGAGGTACTGACTCTACGTATTAATTCGTGAATTAAATTTTGAGATAAGATGTCGAAGTACCAATTAAACCTTCCCGCTCGAACGATACGGCCTCTACGAGAAACGAGTTCCAAGTGGCGAGAAGATTATTTTTCCAAGTAGCAGTGGTTTACCTCCGAATTCGTATCTTGAACGAAACGTTTGGAAATTGATAGGTATCGGTATCAGCGGCTCGCGCGTATGATCTCGTTGCTACCCGATGTTCCCAGCTCCTCTGTCACCGGAAAGCCGAAAGTCGAGGGTGAAAAAGTAGGTCCTCCCCCTCGAACAGAATTTCGATGGGCCAGCCTCCGTTGCTCGAGAGCACTATCGATACTGTCGGCTGCATCCCGAAATTTCTAAGGGTTCGCTAGGGCTGCCGAGGGATGTTCGGGGGTGAAGAGGGTTTGCTCAGGGCCCGATCGATACCGTCTCGCGGAAAAAGAAGCCACCCCTGCCGCTACGATCTCGAGTGGTTTGCACAGGACTCGACGTACGGATACACTTGTGCACGACGTTCGAGGCTTGTTTCGAGATATCGCAGCTGCAGGTGCGCGACACCACTTTTATTCTCGCGATAGCGCCGTGAAGCCCCACTTAATATCCGACGTTAACCTCGGTTAAATCGATTAAATCGGTGTTAAGGGGGGCACCGCACATTCTTCGAAAAAAGAAAAGAATCGAATTTTTGTTTAATTTGTTTGATTAAAATTCGACTTTTTCCGGATCTGTCGATGCTAATTTCATAATTTTTTGATAGTTGGGAATGGCAAATAGAAAATTTTCACGTGATTTTTGACGGTAGTCAAGGCCAGCCTGTACAAAGTTTTTTTGAATAGAAAAACATTTACTTTAAACGATGATGTTAAAAAGCACCCCGGTCAGCTTTTGCCGAGTAAAGATCAAAACGTTTCCTGACAAAATCGTACTTTTTGGTCATTTCATACCAATTACTCATGGTACAGTTTACCTATCGAATCCGGACAAATTTTTGTTTACGCAGAATCGCTTCATCTACGAAACAGTGAAGGTGGATTGTCCACATTGTACTTAGTTAAAGAAATAAAAAATAAAAAGAGGGTGAAGAAAACACCAGCAAAATTCTTTTTTTGAGAATGTTTTACGAAAAACAACTCACTGCTGTTTCATAGTTTAGAATATGTAAAACAACCTAAGAAATGGTTGGATACGATCTAGATTTATACTATCTGGGTAGTCCCTAAACGACATATCAGAGAAGCAAGTTTACAGTATTTTATGGAATGTTTGGCAAAAAAATTGTCTAACATGACTGGCCTAATATTAAAAGACCGTCTCTGATAAAGAGAAACGATTCTATTTTTGACACTCTCTACCTTCGTTTCAACCTGAATTCCGCGGTTGAATCTTTCACAGAAACGTTTATTTTATTTAGCAAGTTTAGCTCGCTCGTCATGGTTGGATCGGTCGGAAAGTTGAAACATTCCATTTTTCCACGACCCTTTCGATAAATCCTTCGAGAAATGAGGGTTCCACTTTACCAAGAGAGTATTTTACCTTACTGATCCGACAACCTTTCCTCGCCTACGCTTCACGGAGAGTAGACATCATTCGAACGTACATTAGCGCATACAAACATCCTCGAGCGTGATTTCGTTTGCTCGCATGCCGACAACGTTTAAGCGCAATTTAGCGTCGCTGGTATGTTGGCAATCCGCCGGAAATGTCCCGCCAATTCTGACAAATGTATTCTGCACGGTTATTACGGAACACGAGTGCCTTCGGCATACCAGATCTGACAAAACCCTTTGTTTATCGAATTTTCATTCGAAGCTCAATTGTTTCACGCGTGTCTCCTTTCCACCATCCGACTTCCGCTTTCTTTAGATGTCGGTTTATTGGCAACGATACAGTTATCGAGGCGTGAGGGGGAGGTTTGTCCCCCGAAATGAACGCGGTAGCGGCGAATGACTCGATATTCGGACGGAACGACCGTTTAAAGCTTGATTCATCATTATCCCGCCGCTGAATGGATATTGGGCCGATAAAGTGGTTCGTGGCTCGTTTTTAGTGGAGCTTTGGGTGATTTATGATGAATGAAACGATGGTCCTAATCCCTCTATAGAGGCGCCCGGCTCTTTTCATTTTTAACGATAGCCGTTGGTCCGTTTCGACTGTTAGAGGAAACCGTGGGCCTTTTTCGATTTGCGACCGACGAACCGTTTCGAATTTTCGATGGAAATGGCTGACCATTTTCGACGATGGTAGGTCGTTTCCGAATTTTATTTGACATCGATACTCCGACCAGAGAATTTTTGCCCCTAGTGGATCGCTTTTCGCTTTTAGCACCCATGCTTTCCACGTATCAGCCGTTCGATTTCAATTATTTTTACTCAATCAAGTTACTAGCAATTTCCTCTGACATATTAACCTTTCACACCTGAATTATTTTATTTTCTAGTGCTAATGTAGTTTAATTTTTAGGGTTAGCTTGAACTAAAATTAGTGTGGAAAGAATTAAAAAAAATTCGAATAGTGCACTTTTCTAGGAAAACTGGTCCTAGAATTAGTCTTTTTCAGGGCACAATATTTTATAAATTATAATAATTGAACTACCCGAAAAGAAGATCGCAACTTAATACCCACACCTCGGACGACTACTACATCTTTTCACCGACTTCTTTACCCGCAAGAAAATAAAACTTCTCGATTAACGTTACCACGGAAGAAATACTTTCTCATAAATTACTGGAAGAAACACAGTCTCGTAATTAATTGGATTCTAAATCAAGTGGATTTCATCTAATAGAATTGAGACGAGAGGGTTGCGACCCTCTGGACGGAAAAAGAAACGATCGATTAAGGAAACGAGGAACACAGACGGAATTGAAGAAACCTCGTTCGATCGGGAGTCCCGCGGTTCGAATTACACATGTTGCTCGATCGTTTATCCCCTTCAGCGCGAGAATCATTGTTCCCGGGGGGTTGCGCAGCACGAAGTCTGGTCATCCCTTCTAGATACGTGTCAACTTCTGCGGTGGCGTACGAGAAGTGCCAGATGGACAACTTCGATATTTCCACTTCCAAAAGTAACTTTAACTTTAACGTTCCCATTTTCAGGGTGACGTAACCGCGGTGAGCAAATTCACCCCTAAAGCTGAATAGTCCGGTCATATTAGACAATTTTTTTTTGTCAAACATTGCATAAAATGCTGTAAACTGGCTTTTCTGATATGTTATTAGGGACTAGCCAGATAGTATAAATCTAGATTTGCAACTCTCAGAAACGTGACTCAGAAAATAACAGTGTAAGTCAAAATACCTACGGTATCAATTATACTATTTTTTTACAACTTTTCCTTGTACAGGTCCCGTTACGGTCTTGAAATAAAGGTAATTGAATTTTCTAGAACTTCATATCTCATGAGTTTAGTGTAGGATGAGTATTTATGTCGATATATTGATCGAAAGTAGGTCGGTAGTTGAAACTTTCACTTTTTTTTGGAAAATTTGTCAATTTTCGCAAAACTGTATCTCTGAAACTAAGGGAGCTACAGAGCCTCGACACGTCTCAAATTTTAGGAAATTTTATTTACTTAAAAAAAGGTAAGAATGACTTTTCTCGTCGGAATAGCCCTTTGGTAACTGTTTTGCGAAAAACTGAAGAGTGCGAAAATTTCGCGGTTTTTCTACTGTAACTCGGGTGGTCCCTAACAACATATCAAAAAAGCAATTTACAGTATTTTTTGCAATGTTTGAAATTTTAAAATGACTGACCTACAACGGATGAAATAAAATATTTTCGAGGAATCGTTCGCCGCAAATATGCGACGAACTGTTAAGGGAGAGCGTCTCGTTCAGCCTCGAGTATCGATCTCGATTGCCTTAAACCCCGTGCAACGCGGACATTGGTGGATTTGTAACAGGTCATCTTAGTGTCCAGAAGCTGGCCGGGTCACGAGGTTAATCCTATCGATAACCGACGTCGAGGTAACGGTCCGTGTAACTGGTACGAACAAACTTTACCTTCGTGGGATCGACGATTCCTTCGCATTCAGTGTATTCGCTTTGCAAAGAATGTTTATATGTTTTTATATATTGATACTGTTGAAGATTGATTTTGAACAGGAAAAGGTATTTAATCAAGGAAAAATATAGGGTGTCCCAAAAATGTTGGAGATCCTTGAAAGGGGTGGTTCGGGGGGTGATTTGAAACAACTTTTTCAAATGCTGAACTAGAGCATTTATGGTAGGCTTCGTATATTCTCTGATGTTTGCTGACAAGCTTTGAAAGTGGAAAAGACAGCGAATAAAGAAGAGGAGCAAAAACACCAGGGTATGTCGGTGAGACAATTTAATGTAACGGTGAAACTTTTTATTATTAATTTTTTTTATTATTAACACCATTGCATTAAATTGTTTCACCGAGTGATCCGATCACGGATCATGTTACACTGTTCGGCGATCGAACTCCTCCACCCCTCAGGAAGTATACCCCGCAGTAATAGGAGTGCTTTGTGTGCATTTATGGTAGAGAAATTTCTGCATTTATGGAGACATTACTGTATAACGTTAGGGTTGTCGCATCGCGTACACGCAAAGGGAAACCATCGAAATACTTGATATTATTTTTCTTCTACAAATACAACGAGTCTCTTGTTAAATAACTGTTCCAATCAACGATAAAAGTCCAGAGATTACTCCCTCCTTGGAACGTATCCCTAATTTAATGGAACATCCATCGAGAAAACAAGAATTAATGTTTCCTTATCTTATCTCGGTCACTTTAATTGGCTCTATGGAAACTTTCGCGAGTGCTCCGGACGCGACGAAGCCTCCGTTGATTCCCAGGATCGCCTAAGATATTGTCCACGCGGTTCGAGGGCAAACATCAATTTCCCAAGCGTTTTCAGCTGTCTCGTCGAATTGACAAAGGTCATCGCGATGGTTTCTCGTTTATTTACCGTTACGCGATAAAGCTATAGTTTAGGTCGAATGTTTAGGACATCCTTATTTGTGCACAGACCAATTCTTTCTTCGAAGAAAGACCAATTTTCTTCAAAAGCTACGCTATTAGGATAGGTTTTCTTTTTAATTTTTCCACGCTAATCTTAATCCAAGTTAACCCTAAAAATTAACCCTAGAAAATAAAATAACTCCCAAGGGCTAAGATAATATTATCCTCTTTGCCGATGTCCCCTTCCGAATCGTGAAATAATATCCCGCGAAACAGTAGCTAAATGGCGAAACTTTCCATTGTCCCAACCGACCGAAGTCCTCCGACTTCCAGACAGTTGAGATCCGTAATTAAGATCTCGGACGGGGTCCTTCCTTGAAAGTAAAAGAAGAAAAAATCGAAAAAAAAGAAAGAAAAGGAAAATATGTCCGCCCTTTGTGGACGGGCGCGCTTTAGGTGAAAATGTTCACGGCGACCGAGCAAACGAGCGTTCCAGCCGAGGAATTCGTCCGCCTTTTCGAGCTTCGGAAACAAAAGCTCCGGACAGAATTATTTTTTCTAGTCGAGCGGTGGGTCCGCGGGAGGGGGCGGACGCGGACGAAGAAAGACGCGGAAAAAGGATGGGGAAACGCTCAAAGAACGTGAAACGGGGTCGACAGGAAAATGCAGCGATTCCGCACTCGGCGAGGTGTCAGACCGTGTACGTTTCGCTTTATTAACTCGTCCGTTCCTCACTTTCCACGTTTTTCCTGCCACTTCCTCGTCGAATCGACCAGATGAAGTCGGATATCCGCGGCGAAGGCCTCGGTTTTTTAGTTTCGGATCGATCCGGCTTACAACTGTAGCCCACGCCGTTGGATCTGAACGAAAGCTTGCCTACCCACGCTCCCGGTTTCACCGATACCATTTCGCGGAGTGGAATTTGTTTCGCCCGGGCGCAAGGGATAACGTACGCCGTGAGGGGATTTTCGAAAATTTGTTCCACGATCCGCGCGGAGAGCTCTTCGGAACCGAGTCGATGGAACGGGGACGGGAATCCGACAATTCGAAGAGAAGTTCTCGAAAGCACTTTGGTAGAGCCTCGTTGGGTGTCACGAAGTCGTTTAATGAGCAAACCTTCTTTTTCGCGGGCTGAAGGGAACCGAAGCGTTCGACGAATACGCATTGAATTCGCGACGGAAATCTCGCTTTGTGATCGAGTGTCAATCGCTCCCGACAATCGAAAACTTTTCTCCTCTGAACATCTATTCCCGTCACGACGAAGAAAATAATTTTTTTTTTTAAACAAATAGATAAAGTCGCGCTCGCGAAACATTTCCCGGGTATCACTCGTCGTCTTTACGTTCATCGGCTCGACAATCGATACATTAATCGTGTGCACGACCTTAGCTATAGTTTCAGCTAAAATTGGACGAACAAGGGTGAAGGTCGATCCTCGTTCCGAGCAAGTGGTCAGACTTTTCCCTACGAGGAAATCGAACGGTTGACCGTGCATGCTAATGCTCCAGTCGTCTGGAAACTTTTCCTTTCGCTACACTTTCGCGTCGTTTGCTATTAATTTTTTCCAGTGTGATGCAACCTGTGACACAATACAACGAAGGTCGACGTAAGACTTGTGCCTGTACGCGTACTCGGCGCGACGAGAAACACAAAATGGGTGTGAAAAACTTGCAGCTGCTCAATCATAGATTGAACAGTGGTTGAGTGGTTTTACTTTCATCGCAAAAATATGAAGAATCGATTGAAGCTGTTTCCGCAAAGTTCTGATAAAAATTGCTGAAGTTGGTATTTTCATTTCTTAATGGCTGGTTGTGATCGTACAATCTGTCGTACAACGCGTCGTACAATCTGTCATACAACGCGTCGTACAATCTGTTGTACATGCGGTCGAACCGGTTACGACGTATCGTACGACTTGTCGTACAGCAGATCGTACGACAAACCGCCACAGACAATGGAATCCCATTCACACGGTCGAAATGTCTCTACAAACGGTTAGTCGTACGACAATGCTAATGCGACGATAAAACTCATCGATATCCTGGTGCTTTCGCTTCGTCCTCTTCTTTATTCGCTGTCCTTCTCTATGTTCATCGCATTCCCTCTCCACTTTTCAAGCTATGTAACGAGCGAGACATATTCATTCTATTGACCCACCCATTTCATCGCCTCACAGCATTTTTCGCCATATAACGGGACATGAATTTCGGCCGTTCGAAAATAAAAAGATGACGAAATACCAGATCATTGTGTACAATACGAGTTGCTTAACAGAAACTATAAGTTCGCCGAGCATTCGAACAGCCGTCAGCAAACTTCCAAGTCTACCCAGAGTATTCTCGAGGAGAAGCGACAATGATGAGCGTCACGCGAGGGAAAGTTCTCGGGACGGGCAAGTTCCGTCGCTTATCCCGACGATATTTCAATCTCCGCAGACGTTCCTAAAATTCACGACGAAGCTGAAACAATAAAAACGAGCGGCACAAGAAGCAGCCAGGGGATTTAAATTGCGCCCACCGTGAGAGTCCTTTGGCTTTGTTTCGCGACCCCCTTTACTCGAATCACGTGGTCGGAATGATTTCGTTGGTGGGGAGAGAAACGAGGAGAAGAGCTCTTCGCGACCCGAGAAAAGTGCTATGCGAGGAAAATTTCAACAATGCGGTTGGGAAAAAGTTTAGAACCGGAAGGAACGGCGGGGAGAGAGAGATGTAGCGATGGGAATGACACCGATACGAGTTTGTATATATATTTAATCCCATAAATATTCGTATCCTATGTGCCTATTAAAGAAATGTGTCTAAATTAAATAGTAATCTTCATGTTCCCAAATAAAATGTTCGTCATAAATATACACATCTCTGAAGTTACCTGTACACATTTATAACTACCTGTGCCTCGCGTGGAATACCATTCTTATTCAACATATATTCTATTGTGCGTTCACAATGAGTTGGACAGTCAAATTCATCGATCGAGGACATTGTGACATCAAACGCGTTGGTATGAAAAAAATTGGTAGTCGTTCGATGTGAAAATATAATTGTTCTACGTTTAGATAATGGTAAGCTGTCAAATGGTCGAGTAATCGCGCCGCTCGAATAATTTAATAAAGGAAAAGTCTCGGAGCTGTCTAACCTATACCTCGAAGCCCGAAGCCTGATCGGCGCTCGGGCGGAAAGAAGCTCCGGCAAATCCATTCTCCTCGCGACAATGGAAACAATTTTCGAGGTTATGTGGGTCAACCACGGCCGACTGTTTCGCTTCGAGCTCAGCCGGCGTGCTCCATGAATGGAGATTAATAGTGCAACAGAGGAAGTCGTTCCAAGTCGACCGCGATACACTTCGGAGGTTGGATCGCTTAGTATTTTGGCAACGGCTTGCCAACTATTACGCATCGATTTTAAATCGAACCGATCGGGTTCTGAGGTTCGGTTGGTCTTTGGAGCGCTCTGCTAGGAATTTAGCGGTACTGGTCTGGTACTGATACTACAACTTATGGCGTTTCGTTAACACTTTAATGGCCGATCACACGACGTGTATGCGATGGTACCGGAGAAGGTTATTGGCCGGTGTTGTGTTAATGGCCTATTCCTTGATGTAACTTGGCGAGGAATGTACCGATCGAAGTGGAACTTTCCACATTTAATGACAGCTGATTTCTTCATGTTCTCGTTTCCAAAATTTATAGACTTTCTATGAAATATTTATAACTATTGTTATTGCAAAATTTCTATTCCTTGATATAACTCGGCGAAGAATTTACCGATCGAGGTGGAACTTTTCACATTTAATAACAGCTGATTTCTTCGTGTTATCATTTGCAAAAATGTATTTAATCAAAATTGAAACTGCCTCGTATAACTGCTTCACTGTAAGCACTCCACCCCTTTCCAAAGTATTAACGGTCTGTCAATTCTCTTTCAACAGGTACATCATCACATCGCTCTGCGACACCTGCGAGAGCAGCGACGCGGTGGTTGCGGTGGTGTTCTGGGTAGGCTACTTCAACAGCGCGTTGAATCCGTTGATCTACGCCTACTTCAACCGCGATTTCCGCGCCGCCTTTAAGAAAACCCTGGAGAGCTGTTGCGTGGCGATCGGGCCTGTTCGCGACATGCGCCAGGTGCACAGGAAGCAGGACCTGGTGCACAGCAACGCGTCCTCGGAGCTGCACGTAAACAACCAGCTGAGAGCCAGCGAGATGACCAACGTGCACATCGAGGCCTGCATTTGAATCTTCCATATCACCCAAACTCGAGAGACAATCGTCGGAATTGACAGTGTTGACTTTCGATTCGTGTAATAGCTAAACGTGTGCTGGCTCAGCGGGGCCTCGTGATCGAGAATAAACAGTCGGTACGAGAACCGTCCTCGACTAGCCGGAGTGTGACGTGCGAGTGAGACGTAGATTATAATATCCATGGTGCAACAATGACGCGTTCTTTCATCGTCCTGATTTGCCAATTAGCGATTAAAGCGTGTCTTCTATGTGCGTCCGAGCGATCTGGTTTTTCCACTTAAACGAGAGTCCATGATGACCGTCGAATGATTTTTATTGTTAACACCGAGGCTTACAAAGGGAAGCTCACGTTACAAGGGGAACTCACCTTGGGATTTCGATGCCAATTTTTTTTTTATTATTCTGGAGGTGAAAAAGAGAGATACGTGTCCCGGCGTTTGATCGAATAGGCCCTAGTTTCGGAGTAATAAATTTGTGAAAATTGAAATTTATTGTTTTATTTTGGTGGTGCTGATATAAGATGCAAGTTTTCGAAGCAGAAATTATATTATCATATTATAAACATTAATGTAAATTTTATTTTGAGGGATTTTTCATTCAAGTAGTAATATTTGAAATAATAAGACAGGGTGTCACAAAAATGTTGAAGTTCCTTGAAAGGGGTGAAAATGTCCGAGGCTTCGTTAAGGATATATTAACAGAAAACCCTGACCAATCAGAGCGCGAGTATGCCAGTAAAGTGTGACCTATACTACTGCGGCTGTCCAGCGCGTGGCCTACACTACTGCGGCCGACTAGCGCGTAGTCTACACTACTGCGAGCGCTCGATCGTCATACTCGCGTTTTGATTGTTCAGGGTTTTCTGTTAATAACTCCTTAACGTAACTTCGGACAATATTTGGCCTAAGGAAAAAGTTGTTTCAAACCACCCTCCGAACCACCCCGTTCAAGGACCTCCAACATAGAACACCCTGTAAAAGTTATTTGTCATATGTAACATATAACGGTAACGCAGTCGAATTTTCAATCGTTTCAATTTTTAATTTCATTTGGATATAATATTAACAGTATTTTAAATTTCTAGTTTTTAAAATAATTAGTAGCAGGGGTAAAAGAATAAAAACATCACCGGATTGTGAATGTGAATTTTTTAATTACAACAGAAAAGTAAGTTTCAATTTTCACAAATTTATTACTCCGAAACTAAGGCGTATTCGATGAAACCCCGGGACACGTATCCCTTTTTTTCACCTGCAGAATAACAAAACAAAAAAAAGAAAAGATTGGCATCGAAATCCCAGTGTGAGTTGCCTGTGCTTCCCTCTGTTAGTCGAACTCGAGACGTTTGCTTTGACGATTGCTGCGTTTCCTTTCGAGCTTCATTTTCTCAGGGTGTCGTGGACGTTAAGATTTTCACATTTTTATGCGAGCTTCCTAGCTTGGATAGCTATTTTCGGGGGGTTTCATCTTTCACAGACGTCGAGATTACGTCGGATTCAACGAAGAAACGCGACAAAGGCGAGTGAAAAGATCAAGTTAGGGATCATCTAGGCGATGCAAGCGTCGGGGTGGCTTATCGTCGAAAAGGCCTCACGCGTGTGCGCGACATCGACGTCCACTCGGCCAGGTTACACGTTATTAAAAGAGAAGTTTAATGGCCGAAGGAGCGTCTTGAAAGGCGAAAATTTCCGTCACGGTCGACCTATTTTAAGGGTGACGCCTGGTCTCCGCAGACTCGTCTATTTCCGCCGCGTCTTTTTATCGAGGCTGCAAACGAGTCTGCTGCCCCTGGACCAGCAGATTGATGATCCGATTCGAGTAATATTTTAAGATTGGCTTGATAACGTCGCCCCTGGATCCTCTCTCGCCTGACGCCTCTTTTACCAGCTCCCGGCTTATTAAGTTTCGCCCTTTTTAACAAGATTCGCTCGAGTTCGCACCGAGTGGCGCGAATTTCTATGGGAGTGCCTTGATTAACACGTTGAACGTCACGTCACCCATATGAGAGCTTTTAAAGAACTTCAACGAATAATCTAAAGGACCAAGTATCGATGAAAACAAATCTGAATAGAATTCGTGAATTTTGATGAGAATTCAAACATAATACGACAAATGTTGGATTCTATAGTCTATAGTCTATCATCGTTGAAATTTTAGTTTAGACATTTCCATGCGAATCAGAGTGGCAGTCAACGTGTAAACGTAGAGGAACTGCGCATTAGTTCGTGGATTTTCCTGTTTCGTTGTCACGTCAGAGTTCCCTCTCGGATTTTCAAACTTTCCAAACGACGAATTTGACGAAAGTCTGACGTCGTTCTGCAGAGAGTTTATAGCAGCCAGACAGAAAAGATTAAAACGGAGCGCGGCTAAGGGGTTTGTAGAACGCGTAACGACAGGATTTCGGTTGAAAGCCTGTCGCGTCGGAGCATGGAAATTACCCCAAGTGTGAAGGCGCCTAGGGCGTTAAGGTCGATGTTGACACAGGGAATTAAAGGATAAACGCAGCCAAAGGGGATTACCTCGAAACGGCAAGGACACCTGCGTATTTGGGTGAACCGTGGAACAATAAACGCGTAAATTTACGGTGTACGAGCGACAGCTGGGTCAACACGGTTACGATGAGAGTATGTTCGGCGCGGTTGAACGCAATTTGATGCCGAATTCTTACGACCGCAGAACAGGTGGAAGATATTAGCTCGTCCCAAAAGTTTCTTCCGTTTTATTAATAAGTATAGTAAAGACTAAAAATAAGTGCAAGAAAATCGGGACCCAAATATTGCAGTTATCCAGTCGAGGTTTCTATTCTGTGTTTGCTTACATTTGGCTCGAGTCGGGCTTAGAAAAGGACAGAGGGTGAAAGAGAAAGAGGTCCGAGGGAAAAAGTAGTCGGCACAAGCGTATCAGTGAGACAACAGTAATGTAACACTCATATCTTGGTACTTGAAATAAAAATCCCTCAAAATTAAATTTACATTAACGTTTATAATGTGATAATATAATTTCTGCTTCGAAAACTTGCATCCTATATCAGTACCATCAAAATAAAAGTAAAATAAAAATAAATGTCAATTTTCACATTACTCAGAAACTAAGGCCTACTCAATCAAACGGCAAGGACACGTATCTCTTTCTTTCACCTCCAGAATAATAAAAAACATTGGCATCCCAGAATGAGTTATCCGAGCTTCCCCTTTTAAGTGAAAGTCGCGAAAGGAACTTTTGAGACAACCTGATATTAAATTCAAGCGCAAATGGAACGAGCACTTACACGGCAGTCTAGCAAATAGAAGTCCATCTAAATGTCTCGCGAAGTCGAGACAGCGGCCGTCCATTCTCGTATCGTTGAATCATCCGAAAAGAGAATGGATGGCGTTCGAAGGAAAGCTAGACGAAACCGTGAGAAATGTCTGTCTCTGAAGCGACGCGTTACGTCTTGATACACGCGAAGAGCTTTTTTTCAGACCGCGTCACGACTTTCATCGACGGCAAATAGAAAAACCTTTCCACGCGTACTTGTCTACCAGTATCGTAGAAAAATAATATTTTCGATAAACACACTCCCGTTGCTATTGTCGCAACGAAACCGGACACCACCTCTGCCGGGGTTGAATCGATAGTGCATAGCTCCAGGCGCTCCAGCTGTTCCTCGTTTCGCATGCAAATGTAAATAATCCATCGTAAACAATTACTGCGAGCGGCAAAAACAATCTCGATTCGGGGAACGCCGGCGGAGAGAAGCGAAAAACGGGGACGGCGTTCAGCTGAGAGAATCCGGATTCGCGAGAAGCTCTCGTCGAAAGTAAACAGAGCTCGGTACTTTCGAGATTTCGCTGATTTAACGGAGAGAAACTGTCCGAGCGAGGATTAAGTCGCCCGAGCTGGCCGATTCATCACAATCAGTGGCATTAGCTTCCCTGCGCTTTGATCCTCGTTAACCGATGAAGTTTCCAACGGGCTTCCGAGAAGTTTGACCACCCCGGCGAATTATTTGAGAAACGCTGACCTGCGGATGACGTTTTAATCTTTCTGTGACCTCTCCTCGAAGGAGCAAAGTTTAACGCAGAGTTCCTGTGATCGATCAAATTTGACGCGGCTTGACAAAGCTGGGAAGCTTGCAATTTCTTTTTTATCTTCTTTCCCTGGATTACATTCCAAGTGATTCCTGATACGAATCCGTTTTTCCTCCGGCAGGCTGTGTCGCGAGCAAGTGATATCGAGTTTCATTCGTGTGCTCTCGCCCGGTTGATTCGAGCGAATTTATGAAATTAATGGAGTGCGACATACGTCGGTGGAAAATATGATTTTCAGCCGCGATGCCTAGGACTGGCTGTCTGATTTCAACGAAACCTTCCAAACGAAATTATTCTTCTTGATTGCTTCTCTTGTGAGATATCATTTTTCCACGATTTTCTCAAATTTCCACATTCTCGAAACAAAGCTCTCCGTGTCCACGACAACCCTAAACTTGACCAGAGAGGTTCTCGGTTAATTTCATTGAGAATTATCGAACAGTGACCGCCGATAGAACCAATCAAATTCCCTTTGAATTTTGCATTTTCGTAACTCGCGGGGATCGGTAGATTCAGCGGCGCAATTCCGAGTGCAGAACAATCATTAACGTGTAAGTCTCGTGTAGTGGTTTCACCGTTGTTCCCGCTTGTTCTTCGAGACAAACCTCAGACTGTTTGCACGGGATACGATCCCGTACCGTTACGGCACTGATTTTCGTTTCTGTCCACCCCGTTGGACTCGAGCGTACGCCACTGCTCAAAAGTTAAGGTAACCGTGTCGGTGGTTGGAAAACGTTTGCACGGTTAATGGGCAACGACAATTTGCGACCCGCTCTGATCGAGGTTCGTGGGTTCGTTTATCTGTATCGCGTATCTATCGTTAGAGATGTAAGTCGATTAGTGATCTAAACCAGAAATTGGCACCGCGACCGTTTCAGCGCACGGCGAGTACTCAAACTGATTGTCGCCGTGCGTTCGGACGCCCGTGGAGTTCAACCCTGACCCATGGTAACGCGGTTCGTGGACACGTCGGCGTCCACGATAAACACCGACTACATCGTGAACCCCCGGCGACCATTAAACGATAATTAATGCCGAAACTCAATTTTATCGCCCGTTCCCATCGTCGCGACAGTTGTTAGAGGGCGTGATATTCAAACGACAATAGCGGCCCGGAAGGACAATTATTTTGTCAGTACGCGTCGGAGCAACAGACAATTCGACTAGTTAGTAACATCGTTAACCATAATCGGCAGTCGTTCGAAGAGGCTAGCGGAGCAATTTTTCAAGCGAGCATGCGAGAAACTGAATCCCTCTTTTCATGTAGCGCCACACGATGTTATGTACGTATATATAAATATAAATATACAAGGAGACTATGTATACAGATATGTATAAATATATCAATTCGTCGTTGGAAATTGTGCAGAGCGCGTAGGGGTATTAATAATAAAATTTACAAAAGAAAAAAAAATAGGTACAGCGTCTCTCTTCGACGACCACTACCTTTCCACCCACGTAAGTATTAACGTTAGAATTTTAGAAATTGCTGTAACTCGTGACATTCAATGCTCGCCTACACCCTCGGTGCTTGTACGTATTATCTCTTCGCACCCGGAGCTATCTCGTTACAGAATGTCCAAACAGACAGTATTATCATGTTGCATAATGTAACTTATAAAGCACATAATTTAATGAAATGATATTTGAGCTCCTATGAATCTTTACATATTGTGGAACATGTTTACGGCGAGTCCCATAAATATTCGTACCCCCTATGTCTATTGAAGAAATTCATTTAACTTAAATGGGTAAGTTCGATGTTTCCAACATATTTGTATAAATATGTTGATGGTTATATAAATATTAGGTCTACCGGAAAGTTCTGTCCGTTTTTAGAATAAAATAATAAATAAAGCAATTTAGAGCAATCGTCCGACCAAGTACCGACCCATACTACTTGCCCCAGCTTTGATTCTTTGATCCTTTCAGACCAGAATTATTCTTTTCTCTCGTACGAATGCTATTTAATTTTTAAGTTCGATTAAAATTATTAAACAAATCCGTTTTTAAGATAACACAAAATAATACATTTCTCATACCTTAAATAAATTTGATTGAATAATATTATTTTTATCTTTATTTGTGACATCTTGTCAGCGTGATTGCAATTTGTATATCGTTTTTAACGAATACGCGCATACTCGTTGAAACCTGTAACTGGTACGAACAGAACTTTTTGGTTGACCTAGTATACACACGGTGTCCCAGAATTAGTGTAAGAACTGGAAAAGGGGGGTAGCTGAGACAATTCTGAATCACAATTTCCTTTGCAGAAATGTTGTTGGGGGCTTCGTTTTTGAATTATTAAGGAAAAACTACCGACCAATCACAGCGCTCGAGAGGCGGGCTCGAGGCAGGACGATCGGGTCCGCCATTGGGCCAGCTCTGAGACGCTGTGATTGGTCGGTGATTTTTCCTTAATAATTCAAAAACGAAGCATCATCCGACATTTTGGCACAGGAAACTATGGTTCAAAATCGTCTCAGCTATCTCCCATTTCCGGTTCTTACTCTAATTCTGGGACGTCCTGTATATACAAGGTGTTCACGCTAAAATGTTACAACCGCATATCTCAATAACTATTGATGATACGAAAAAATTGTTTATATGTAAATTGCAGGATACAATGTGCTCTCTATTGTGGCGTAAACGAAATTTTTTGTATGTTATTAATTTAACATGTATGAAGTTGAAGTTCCGCTTTTTTAACACTTTAACGAACGGTAGTATGTTTAATAGACTTTTTGCTAGTTCGTTTTGCGCTTCGTTACACGTTCCCGAACGGTAATCACAGATGCTGAAAATGCTGGAAAATTATCGCGAGCACAGTGACGTAATACGGGAAACGAACGTTTTGAATACTTCGAAGCATCTCGCCAGCCTCGCTAACGGGATCGCGACGGGGAAACGTATTCGATTCTTCTCGAAATATCTGCATTTCAATCCGAGGAGAATTTGGGACACGTCCAACCCAAATGTCACGCAGCGGTACCGCGCAAAGAACTTTTCCAACACCTTGTCCAGTGCGGAACCTATCGACTTGTAATGGGATAGCCCAGGCCGGGGCTCTCGTATATTCCCGCTTTGTACGCGCCGACGGCGACACATTACTCTAGAAAGTAGTGCAATTTCGCGTATAGTCAGCCACTGGAAGCTCCTGCTTGCATGGAAACAATGGACGGCTCGCTCCGAGCATTGTTGCGCACCGTAGACAGCAATAGCTGACTCCATGCTGCATGTTAAGTTGCTTTGGCATTAACGGGGAATTTCTACCCGAGAGCCGAATACGCGTTGTGCGTTTCATTCGGACGCGTGTCACACTCCTGTTCATGGAATACCCGTCGCGCCAGCGAGGAAAACTTGTCGTTATTTTCCTGGAAACTCGATACGTTTTCTCGGCAAATTTGCTCGTTTCCTAAGACTATCAGTCAATCGAGAGGATTAAGTGTCGGCGCGTTTTAATTTTGTTCAGCTAAGAGTACAACACCCCGTCACCCGAATTTAGTTAGCCGCTTCATCTTTCGCGTTAACCCCCGAACTTCGCGCCAATGGAACTTTACCGGGATCGAAGTCTCGTTAGTCGTTGTCGCGATTAATTATCGAGTCGTTCGATTGTTCCCAGGGGAGCGCGAGATTCTCCGAGCAAATCCACGACTATTAGAGTTCCAGGTACACCGTCGACATCGGCTGTGCTCGTCTCGGTTTAATATTAACGGAAGCCAGATACGTTCAAAAATAGAGTTTCGCGAGATGAGAGTTCGGGCGAAGTCCGCGAACGGACCGTTCCGTGGAACGTGGTTCGCCATTTTTCGGTGCATCGGCCTCGTCGCATCCCGTGCAACCCCTATTCCGGCAGGCCACGACCCCGCTTTTTGCCCTGTAATGTGGGTCACGCAGCCGGTGTACCGTTTCCCCTTTCTCTGCTGGCATTTATTAAAAAAAATGTATACAAAGAAACGGGAGTTTGCAGTTCAAGGCCTCTGGCTGAGACCTATTTCGATGGAAGGGTTCGAGACTTTCATTTAGATGTACGACGCGAGTGTTTCTTAACCCTTTTTAGTGCCGGAGCGACGATACAAGGTGTTCAGGCTATTACTAGCCAGGATTTTTATCGCAAATGGTACATATGACAACAAAATGAAAGAGGAAAGAGCGATACTGTCTTTTATATGCAATGTAACCAGGTATATAAATCTTTCGTATTTTTACTATTTTCTGAGAAACGAAGGTCACCTCGAGTATTTTTAAATGGAATGGTATGGATTTTTTTATATCATGTAAAAGCGGATATCGAAACGAATTCAGCGATGTATAACATGTCTCGTTAAACGCACAAGCTCGGGACTGACCTTGTGCAACTAACGTGGACATACAAAATATAAACATTTTTATTATTAACTTTTTTGTTCTAAAACTTTTACCATCATATTTCTGACATTCTCGCTCGGGACTGAACTAGTGCATTTATGGTGGACTTCGTACATTCTATCATTATTCTACCCAATTCTCAGAGCCACGTTCCAGTTCCGAGCGTCCAGGTGTTGAAACATAGCTTGGCCTCCAAGATTGTAACATCGGTGTTCGGTTGCACCCTGGAAACAAGCTTCCCATCCCCCGTCCTCTCAACTTAATATTCCGTGTACCGTTTTGCGGCGACAACCAAGTTCGCCCAACAGTTGACCATCCGCGCGACCGACGTTTAATTAAAACGTATCCGGCGAACAAGGCTACCCTCTCTCGTCTAATGCTCGGCCACAGTTGCGAGACTGATGATCTCATTATTCCTCGCAGATGGTCCGGCGAGTTATAAACACGTTAAGCACATCGGTGGGCAAAACGTACCGCCGGAGCTAGAGAATTGTTGTCTAACGAGCTGCTTTCGCGAGGCGTTGCTACGAAAATCGGAATTTTTCAAATATCGGAATTTCCAACAAAAAAAAAAGGGAATAATATAGAAACCTATCCCCTAACAATTCATTTCCATTCACGCCAATTAAAAAGAAAACGGAGGAGTTGCGTCGGTTAGTTGATTGCATCAGCTGAGTTTTTAACAAGGTGTAGTTTTTTTTCCAGCGGCGGAACACGAGTTTTTATTTTTTTTTTTTGTAGTTGGTAGCACAGTTATATATATGTATGTATATCCGGCGGATATGTCGCACTGGCAAACGCTAATACGCTTTAATCCGGCGCGTTA